CACCCCTCCTCCCCATCCACAAGGGCCCTTTACCTAGGAGGGAAGGAACTTGAACTCTAAGTTTCGATGGAAGTGCTTCAGATAACCTGAGAACTGCTGGTATTGGACGAGTATTAAGGAATGAACACTTGCTGGGTGTACAGTGGGCCGATAGGTATAGCTGACTCCACAAAGGCAGAAGTGACAGCTGCACTTACAGGAATCCAATCAATCAACAGACTAGGCATTCAGCATCTATCCATAGAGGGAGGCTGGACTGTGGAGCTACAAACGTACACCTGTGCTGGATTCCAAGGGATCTTAATGCTCATGCAGATGAGTTAGCAAAATTAGGTGTTCTTTTAGAAGTGTTGTACTGTGATAAGATCCCTCCTGTGTAATTTTCAGGGGTCTGATCCCTGTTTGTTTGTCTTCTTTGTACACCCTCTTTGTGTACCCCTCTCTTTTCTTAATGAATTCAGTTAACTATTCTCAAAAAAAAAGCACGACCTAAATGTTTTCTTATTGTTTTAATTATCAGAGCAAATTTCTGTATGCATAAAATTGAAATTTAGTCATTCATAAAAAAAAAATTGAAATTTAGTCCTTATACTACTGAACAATAGGATAGCAGACTTTTGCACATACTAGTAATGAAATGGCTCCAAATATCATCATCCACAAGAAATCTGCAGTACGCCTTTCAAAAGGTCCCCTCTCTAGTTGGACACCATACCTTGCTCTGTAAGATCAAAGCTGTCTTGTTAGAAGTGGTTAACAAAAATGTATGTTCTGCCAATCCAGGTTTCAATGATTTCTATAGTTTTCTTCTGCCAAAAAAAGGGTCAAGGATTACATAGTCGAAAAATAAACACCTTATGGTTGAATGATTATCTTGGTGGACTATTACTTACATCATCAAGAGCCGAATTCCAAAATTTATAGAAAACTTGCCAAGGAAGAAAAAGTTCGTAACCAGCCTCCAGACCTAGAATAAATGTAAAAAATAACAAAAAACTTTCAGAAATGGACGTATATACTAAAAAGAGGTCAAAGAAAAGGATTGCAACAAAGAACAACTCTCAGATCAGTAGAAAAGAAGAGTCCATGAGAATTAAATGACAGCACATTCTTGCAATAAAGAATCTTTACAAATTCAATCCCTTATTTCCAAATTTATTTATTTATTTATTTTGATCGGTAGAAAATTGATTCTATTAATTAATTAGTGTGAGAACATTACAATTTGATGATCAAGACGTCATCCCCATGTATATAACTATGTTACAAGGATGCCCAAAACAATTGCTGCCTTGCTGCTCCTTGTTTAGCAAGGGAGTCAGATAAACCATTTGCACTTCTTCTAACCCACTTGAATTCATCAATCAATTCTCTTGCGAGCCTTTCAACTTACCTGTAAGCATTCCTCTTTTTTGTTGGAAACACTTTCATTTAAATAACAGTTAAATACAATAGTGTCAACCACTCAGAGCCTGAGAGTTGACCCCATACAAATCTCAAATCTTACAATACAGCCCAAAACAAGCATTCCCTGAGAGTCCCTTGCTTTGCCAAATTGTCAGCCACAGCATTGGCTGATCTCAAATCTTACATACACCCAAGCTTTCTGTCTGCAGCCATCCTATTAGAAGTTTAAAGTCACCCTCTACCTCAAGGTTTGATATCCCCATTGCTTAGCCAATCTCATACCTTGAAATAGAGACATAACTTCAGCCCTCAAGGAACCTCCCACGCCTACTGGGCTAGAAGAAAGTGCTAGCATCCTGCCCTCCCCATCCCTGAAAACTCCTCCAACTCCAAAGGGCCCCCGGGTTTCCCAATGAGCTTCCATCAAAATTCAATTTTACTCTTGGTTGTGCTGCAGATGTCCAAAGGGGCTGAACCACACTTTGTGTAGCCGAAGAGTTAGCCACTATTGACCATCCCCTTAGGATATCTTCAGCTGAGAAATTTTTGAACATTTAAGTTGCTTTCAGCCAATGTATGACCCTAACAACTATGAAGTCAATGACTTGCTCCTTAGTTCTTTCCACTCCTTGGAATATCCTGTTATTCCTCTCTTCCTATAAGGACCAAAGGATGGCAGCTCTTGTTGCCCTCCACATTATTCTGCCCCTTTTCTTTGGTAATGTGAAAAAACTCAGATCAAAAAGAGTTGCCACATCCGAAAGAGTCCACCTGTAACCAAACAGAGAAGAAAACCAATTCCACACAACAGAAGCAAGAGGACAAGATAGTAAAAGGTGTAATTGTCTCTTCACAACCCAAGTAAAGGCAACAAACATGAGGGGAGAGGCAGAAATTTGGCCTTCTTCTTTGTAGCTTATCCAAAGAGTTGATTTTCTGTACCACTTCCCAACAAAAGGCTCGTGTTTTTGGGGGTACCGAGTTACACCAAACTTCCTTTGTGGGGAAGGATCCTAACAGATGAGAGGAATGGAGGAGAACAGTGAAAAAGGAAGCATAAGTGAAATAGCCAGATAGGGATACTACCCAAATTCTACTATCTGAACAAGTGGGGTCTAGAAAAACAGTGTTGAAAAGGGAAATAAGCTCATCTACCAACCCCATTTTGGACTCTCTCAGTCCTCTCCTCAAACCCAAATCCCAAGAACTGTCATTACCATACATTGAGGATATTACTCTCCCTTTATTACGAGGCAGGGAATAAATGGATGGGATTGTCTTTTAGAGAAGTAACCCCAAACTAGACATCTTCCCAAAACGCACTTTATTACCTGCACAAGAATCATGCCTAATAGGAAGGTAGCAAGCTGTGGATTGCTTTCCAAGGAGACGACTTTAATGCCCTAGGATCAAAACCAGCATCCCATCCATTGTCTGCCATGCCATGAATGCTTATAATCACTTTATGCCACAAGTTTTCTTGTTCCAAAGCCAACCTCCAAAGCCATTTTCCCAACAGAGCCGAGTTCCTTAATTTGATATTTCCTACCCTAAACCTCCATCATCCCTACTCCTAAACACTACCTCCCACTTCACCAAATGTTCCCTCTAAGCATTCTTAAGATTCCAAGGAATATTTCTATTATTTCTCGCCCATGAAATAATTACTTTTGAGTTCCCTTCCACCTCCAACTGTCTGAACCCCAATTGCTTAGCTAACCTGAGACCATGTAGCAAAGCCATCAATTCAGCCTTTATGGAATTAGCCACACCAATTGGCCCGAAGTAAAGAGACAATAATCTACCCTCTGAATTTCTGCTTGTCCCACCTTTTCCAGGCATTCCAGGGTTACCCACGGAACTTCCATCAAAATTCAACTTCATTTTACTGCCTTGTGGGTGTTTCCATTCCAATTTTACCCTATCTTTGCCTCTAGAGGACTATCCTACCTTCGCTTTTCTAGTCTCCATTACCTCTTCCACAATTCTACTTTTTCATTAAAAATTCTGTTATTCCTATCCTCCCATACTGCCCATATAGTTGTGGCCTTTGTAACTAGGGATGTCAATGGATCAAGTAAAACGATAAACCCGGCTTGACCCGACCCTATGGGGTCAGGTTAGGGTCAGATATATTCAGCTTTAGGGTCAGGTTAGGGTTTTGATTCTTTGACCCGAGTTGGGTTCGAGTTTTGACTGACCCGCTCCGTTGGGTCATGATACTATATGCATAGTTTTCTTGTAACTTTCTGGCTTCTAACTCCATAGCCTTAAAGTTTAGGATTTCTTCATATGTTGGTGTTGATTTTCTTCTTTTTTTAAATGGAAAAGGTGACACCTTAAAATCTATAAAACAACTTTCTAACTTAAATTAATGGCTTTTAGGTTTTCAAAACCTGTTAAAAAAATACAATTGAAATGCTACAAGTTGGGTCAAGTCAGTATCAGGTTAGGCTCTACAGGGTCGATTTGGGTTTGGAAATTATGTATTTTTGAGTCAGACTGGTTCGGATTCGGGTTGGGACACTGGATGGTTGGGTTAGGATTGAGGCAAACCTATGCTGAACCCGACCCGTTGACATTCCTATTTGTAACTTTCCACATCAATCTCCCTCTTTTCTTTGGTTTCTTTAGCAAGTTTGGGCTAAAAATGTCTACCACTTCTTAGGAAGGGTCCTACCTGCTACCAAAACAAAGAAAAAAAAAGAATCCCAAATATGAGTAACAAAGGAACATGAGATTAATAAGTAGGGTAGGGTTTTTCCACTTTTCCTGCAAAAAAAGCACATATGAGGAAAGAGGCAAGAAAAAGGCCTTCTTTTCTGTAGCATATCACAGGTGTTTACCTTTCCAAGGAAAGATTTCCAACAAAATGCTTGAACTTTTGGTGGGATAAGCTTAGTCCACGCTTCTTTCACCGAGAAGTCCACCCCTATTGAAGTAGGTAGGACTAGAATCTTGAAAAACGAGGAACAAGAAAAGAGTCCATTAGATGAGGAGATCTAGATTCTAGAGTCATTCAAGATAGGATCTATAAAAAACAACTTCCAAGAGGTCAAGAAGGTAAATCAAAGATGAGCACTCATTCTCCCTTAGAGCTCTTCTAAACCCAAGGTCCCAATTGATGCTTGAGGGAGAGGAAGATCCCAACTTGGAAATAGGTTCCCCTTTGAGGTTAGAGAGGGCAAAGAGATTAGGGAATTCCGCTAACCAAAGGTCTTCCCAGAAACGAATTGTCACCTCTTCCCAAATCATAGCAGATAGAACCAAAGAACAAAGAGTATACCTCATGAATTGCTTTCCAAGGGAAAGCTGAAATTGAGTGAGGACTGTGGATTGAGTTTGGAATCCCAGCCATATTACCCTCCAAAACATGAATGCCTGCTATTACCTTACCTTGTGCTACAGCCTCTCTCTTTCAAATGGAATCTCCAAAGCCATTTACCCAATAAAGCAGTGTTTATGTTTGCAATCTTTCCTAACCCTAGGCCTCCTAGTTCCTTTGGTTTGCAAACTAGTTCCCACTTGACCAAATGATCCTTCTTTTCCTCACCTGGCTCCCACAAAAAGTCCCCCATGTACTTCTCTAGTTGTCTTACAATCCTAGTTGGTACACGAAAAGTGGAAAGGAAATAGATGAGTAGATTTACTAGAGTAGCTCTAATTAGGGATATTCTTCCTCCTAAAGAGATAATTTGTTTTCCAAAGAGCTAGTTTCTTAGCAAACCTCTCTACTACCTCTTCCAAAAACTGTCAAGCCTTGGGTTTCCCCCCAAAGGTAAACCTAGGTAGGTTGCAGGCAATTCCTCACATCACACTCCAATAGTTATGCAAAACTTGCAAGTTCCCCTTCTTCTAGGATAGTTCCAACAATTCCACTTGTATTCCAATTGATCCTCACCTTTGAATATCCCATAAATTTGTCAATCAGGAACCTCAAATTCCTCGCCATTTCTAAATTGATAGCATCACAAAACAAAATTGTATCATTAGCAAATTGAAGATGGGAAACAACTACTTGATCCCTACCAATCCTCCATCCCCTAAACAGACTTTGCTCCTCTCTTAGCCGGAAATAAGTCTTTTGCTACCCCATTTATAAGAATTAAGTAGTTCACTGAACTAATATAACCCATCACCAGGACCTCCAACTAACTCCAAAACCCATTTTCTCTAGGACTTCCAATAGAAAATTCTAGTCAACTAAATCGTAAGCCTTTTCCATATCCAATTTATACACCAACCCTTTCATTCTACTTTTCCTTTTCTCAGCCACACATTAATTAGCTACTAGGATTTGATCCACAATCTATCTTCCTTCCACAAAAGCCCCTTGGAAAGGTGATATAACTAGAGGCAATGCCTGCTTAATCCTCTTAGCCAAAATGTTTGATATGTATCTTGTAAAGACTCCCAATCAAACTTAAAAACCTAAAGTCCTTCAGAGAGGTTCTCCTTCATCAAGGAGATAAAGGTAGCATTTGCTCCAAAAGGGATTTACCCTCTAAAGTAAAATTCATTAAAGACTTCCAATAGCTCATATTTGAGGAAATCCTAGCA